CATGACCACTCTTTTTCCACTCTTTTGCATAGTCTTGTGGCCTGATCATAAAACTCATCTACATTTCTTAGCTGTCTTGTTGGAAATCTAAGCAGAGAAGTCAAAGTCCAAACATACCCAATTTGAATATATCGGGCACTTTCACTGACAGTAGTGACAGGGAGGAACCTCATGGAAGCTGCCTTGTGCTCTGTCGGCCAAGCTGGGACCTGCTGGAGGGCTGTCAACGAGACTGCATCTCTTCTTGTGCTCAGCGTAATGCTGATCAGCAGCCTGGGATGCTTTGGGGTAGGAAAACCTTAGATCTTGTTTGTTTTTCTTCCTCCTGGTGTCTGACTGGGTTAGATGCTGTGGAGGCTTTCAAAGGATCTATGGTCAAGTTTGGACATTTTTTAGTAACTGGCTGGTCTAGACCTGTGGAAATGTTTAATGGGTCAGTTGATTTGATTTGACTATGGTGTGTTGACTGCTTGGCCCTTTAGAAAATGTGATTTTTTAATTTTTTTTTTTCAATGCATAAATAGGAGCTGAAATGCTCTGAGAGTGGCTGTAGGATGCAGGGATTCTTAATATTGCTGAAGCCTGAGAGTTCCCATGAACGTATTTATACCTTTAGGCAGTTCTTGAGCAGCTTCTAATAAACTAGACTTCCTTTGCTCTGCAGTGGCCTATAATAATGAGGGAGAAAACTGGAGTTTATGTTGCTGTTGATTTTTTCCTCTGAAACCCAGATGCCCTGAATAGGGATCCAGCACCGTCACCACAATCCCTTTGTGCAGGACTGCAGCCTGGCCACTCACAGGGGAGTCAGGAGCTGTGGGAGGGAACGAAAGAGGAAACCACTTTAAAATCCAGACCATTAGTAGATTGTTTGATGGTCTCATGTTTTATATATCTTAAATATCTATTATTAATCATTAGTTTGCTGCAGCAGAAACTATCTTTTCCTTTTTTTTACCCTGGGAAACACCTAGTCTCTACTACCTCAAAACTAAACATATACATGAACAAATTCCTATAAAACAGAGCTGAAGAATGTGTAGCTTTGCCCTGTAGTTGCATCATGATGTTTGTTTGTTTCCACGAGGGAGCAGAAGCATTAATCACAGGTATAGCTGTTATGCCCCGATAAACAGTGTTTTAATTTTTGGCTCACTGAGCTGATTCAGTGACTTTGAAATACAAGAAGTATCAGGTGCTCTCTGCAGGGTCCATTAATAATGTTGCAGAAACTTAACTAACTGCCCATGCAGAGTAACAGCTGAGGCACAGGTCTGCTGTACAGATGTGAGCTGGAGCGATTTCTAACAATCTGAGGAGAAGAAATGTTTCCTGTTACTTGTAATAGCTTCTTCCTGCCATAAACCAAAAAGATCAAACAAGTTATTTTAAAGAACCACATATGTCCCTGTTTGACAAGACAGAATCAGACTACGTACCACTGATTTTATGACTACAGCGTGAAACAGGGGTTTTTATCACTGAGGATAGCAGCCTGTGCTCAAGTCAGGCCATTTTATCTCCTTGACGATAGCATCGGCAATCCCTTAAACTGATGGTAGCAGAAGATTGGGCCGCGTTTGCCTCTCTGCTCCTACCTGCCTTCTCGTACCTGATCATTTCAGCAGTCTCCATAGTCTATGGAGTCATACCTGCCATTTGAGCTGTTTGTCACAGACACAGTGGATGACATTTTTCCCGTTTATTGTATTTGTAATTGTCCCGTGGAAGACTTATTTTCCTAGCTGAAAGGTCAACCTTCTTGGAAGAGAACTGAAACATCCTAGACAAAGCTGTGGCACTGATGGATAGCGTATGAATCCCTTTTCTCTTGCAGACTACTTCTCCTACTACCTATGCAGATTTGCATGTATAATTTGTTGTGTTCATGTTTTAATTTACCATCACTTTATTATCATTATTTATAGGACCTAAAAATTTCCCTAATGGATAATGAGTCTGTTTTCCTGCACGCTGCATAAACACAGACTAAACTGTCCAGAGAGTTTGTCATCTAAATATAGGACAAGAGAAGGGACTTGGCATACGAACAGTTACCTTATGTTTGTCAGCGTCAGAGAAAAGCAGACTTTTAGGGATTTAACGATTATAAGAGAGCATTGCTGCTGTTTGCCTCAGAGGCAGCGCAGAGACCGTGTTTGAAAACGTTAACGGGTGAACAGTGGGAGCCGGCCCCGCGAGAGGGAGTACACCAGCACATCCCTTGCTTTACAGGGGTTCTCTGAGGATGAATGAAGGATGAATTAAATGTTATATGAACCATTCGAGCACCAGGATAATGATAATTTTGTAAGGACCTGAAATAGATATACACAGCCAGGCACACATCTCAAGTACTGTTTGGTGTCAGCAGGATACTGCTCTAATAAGTAGGTAGGTAAGCAGCAGCAGAAGTGTTGATGTACTTTAGAGATGGTTTTTTTTTTCCACAGTAATCAGGTTTTAGGACCTAAAATAATGCAAAACTTATAAGTTGCTCAGGCAAGGGAAAAACCTGCACGAGGATGATATGCCCAAGAGGGCCTTTTTCTTTGTTTACGTGCTCACCGAGGTCCCCAAAGCATCAGGATGAGGAAAGGTCCTTCCCTGGTGATTGACTCAAGTGAGGAAGGTGAGGAGGGAAGATGAGCTTTGTGGTGTACCTGGCAGTGAGGAGTGCTCACAAGATAAATGCCCCTCTTCCAGGGCTGCCTCCCCTTTTCTCTACACCTGTAGGCAACCAGATTGCGAACGGGCACCCTGTGCAGTGGTGTTGGCTGTGGCAAAGGTGAGGGCGGGCTGCAGGTCACTCACCCCTTTGTTTTCATAACTGCCATCTGCGACCTCTCTCTGCCTCAGCTAAAAAAGCCTGCCTTCTACTATATCCTCACAGAGCTAAGGGGACCCGGCGCAGGCTGTGGATTTATCCAGTGGCATAATAACGTTATGTTTTATTCTCCTGCCAAGGGTACAGTAGTGAGTCAACCAAAAAGAAAGAAATAATTGCTTCTGCTTCTGGCTGTTTCACTAAGGCATCCATGTCTAAAGTACTGGATTCTCACTTAAAAAAAAAAAAAAACAAACCAGTGCCTAAATTCTGTGCAAAAAGACCCAACAATAGGTGATCTGGTAGTCAGTTTAGCTCTTCTATACAGAGTTTCTAGAGTTATGAAAATAAATTCTAGATTTATGGAAGTATCATTTTACTAAACGTTTTAATCTCTCATACGTTCTATATTGGATTAGGATATTCTGACCAAAAGTGAAACTCCTCTCCAGTTTATTGTGCTGTTATATGTGTCAATAAAAGTAAGTCACTCTCTGAAGTGTTACAAAAGATTAGCTGATAGATGAAACAACTCGGTCTGAGTATGAAGTCTGCTGCACAAAGATACAACAATAAAAGACACACGTAAAGGCTTCTCAGAGGCTGCAGAGGAAGGTGGTGCCAAGCTGGGATGGTGGCATGACCTGGAGCTCCTGCTCTGCTCCTCTGGGCACGCTGCCTTCCCGTATCTGACCACGTAATAACGCCGAGAAGTGACCTTGTGGACACTTTGTACAGCTAGAATTAATAAATGTTCTTGACAGGGTAATCAGCTGGTCCCTTTGGTGCATCAGTTCGGTGGCTGAATAGGCAGCAGTGTGAGAAAAGTTTTACTTCACCCTGTTGTGAAAACAAATGATTAGCAAAGAGCGGCCTGACAGCCTCGCTCGGCCTCTGAAAATGAGCCCCGTTCTTCCTGTGCTGCTAGACGGGTGGTGGCCATTTGGGTATTGGCGTGATATCTTTGTCAAACCTCTTCAGTGAGGGTACATGCTTCTGGAGTGCCTTCTTAGAGCTCTTTGGTATCAAGATCTTTGTTTGCAACTCCTTCGCACGTTACTTTTCATCATCCGTGTGATGACTGGGGAATAACCTAGATATTCAGTGCTGAAGTATGGCGCTCACGATTCCACCTGCTAAGCAAATATCACATGGAAAACTAGGTTTCTCCTTGTTGTAATCAGATATCCTTTGAAAAAATAACGAGAGCTCATTCTCTGAAAAGAAACAACAGCTGCAGGAAACAGCTACCACTGGTAGCAGAGGAAGGTTCCTGGAGGGGCCCTTTGACAGAGGGACACCCCCATTTACAGTATTTTTAGGCTGCAGAACATCGACTAGGCATATAGCAAAAATATAAAAGTTAAGGCTTTGGCAAGCACTGTCTGCAAAAGGTGAAATCACTGACATTGACTTATTTTACACAGGGCTTTGAAAAGCCATTATAGGGAAAGTTTTGTGCACACTGATGAATATGACTGCCCCCACAGAACCTGGATGAGACAGCCTCTTAATGTAGCTCAATTTTTATTGAAATGAAACTTCTGAGCCTAACGAAGAGAACCGTCGTTTGTTTGCACATGCTATTTCTGTTACAGGGAGGTGCTATACCTGCACCCGTAAGAATCCATTTAATCCCGTCTGAGAGCTGCTGCTATCAGGGGTGGGGTTCACCTTTTCCTCCTTGCCTTTTGGCCTTTTTTCCCTGTGTTGGGGGAATAGTTTTCACCTGCTGTGTGAGCTGAATGACCCATTTCCCAGCTGCATGCTCAGTGGAAAGTTGTGGGGCAGGCTGGTATGTGCTCTTTGTGAAGGGAGAAGGTCAGAGGTAATGACCTTAATGTTATACCGAAACTATAAGATGCTGTTAAGTTGTATGAGTATATTTTAGATGCTATAGGTATCTAGAAAGAATCAGGGAAAAAATATAAATGAGTAGGTAGAGCTTAGTTGGGCTTTTTGTTTGCTTTTTTTTTTTTCCTTCTCTTATAAACATGCAGGAAGGATTGCAGGAGTTATCTCCCCTCTTTTTCAGAAGGGAAAAAACTATTTGGAAAAAGCTATTTTTAAAAATAGAAAACTGGGGTCTTATACTGGATATTGTTCCTCTTGCCTTGGTGTGATGGTAGGGAAAGAGGAGTTTGCTAAGCTTGTTATTTATTATCTCTTTCAGCTTTCCTGGTGTATTTTCCTGCCTGGCAAGCTCTTGTTTACAAGCTGGAGAGCAAAGCAAGCCCTGAAGAATAAAAGTGGTGAAAAATGGAGAGCCTGCTGCTGTTACCTCAAACCTCACACCAGACAGCACACAGGGCAGGTAAATTGCTGTATATGTGACTTTTTTTTTTCAGAGATGTTTTTATTGCTCTTAAAGAAAATAACAGTTCTGGCTGTTCCTGCAGCATCTCTGCCGTAGGGTTCAGTTGTGGCTACAAGGTAGGAGTTGGGAAATTGTGTTTTTTATTTTGCTGGAGTCTTGTTTATTTTACACTACTACTTAGATACAGTTGTGAATCCTCATATGACCCTTAGTGAGAAAGCTCCTAAAATATAATTTAGCTTCTTCAAATTGCAGGAAAATAAATTCTAGAATTACGTTCTTTTTCCAGTCTCTCCGTTCTCATGCTTCATACACAGACACGCTCCTGGTATGTGGCTGTGAGATCGGTTTGGGCTTGGACTCGATGATTTTATGGGTTTTTTTTTTCCAACGCGACCGGTTCTGTCTCAGTCCTACGAGCCGTTCCTGTGCCCGGCAGCGGGCTGCCCTTCCCCTGCCCGCGGCGGCGGGGTGTCCCCGCTTCAGGCCGTGGCTGG